CATAGCTGCATCGGTGCAGCTATACCAATGCAGTGTAGACCTGCCCTTGTGGTTTTAATCTGAGGTACATTCTTTTCATCCAACAGCACATAATGCACATTATGACAAATATTGTTCCAATTAGTACAAAGAAAACAATTATGAGATGAATCATAATATTTAAAACTGATGTCCATGAAGGGGAGCAGCCTCTAAAAATGCCATACCAATGGTGCACCATCATTTGTTGAGCTTGTGTGGATACTTTCAGAATTTCAGTTCCTTGGTGCAAAATAGCCAGACTTCGTGTTAGTACTTTTGTCCGGGTTGCTGCAGTTAATTGACTAATCTGCTTATTCCCTGCTAGCCATTGGTATGAGGTGGTCCAATTAACCCCCAAAATAAAAATAAAACTCAGGGCATATTATTGGTATCTACTAGGTTAACATCCTTATTTTTATGAACTGGAAATTAGTAAGTCATGGTGGGAGTTCGCAATATTGTCACATTGCACATACATTGTTGTACAGGTGGCCTCTGAGTATACTTTTCCTGCCACACAATTTTTTCCAGTCCAATAATACAAACATAATTTTCCCCATCATAGTATACTTTGGTGGTGCTATTATCCAGTTCATCCCAGTAGCATGTTGCTACATTTTTGATTTGAACGGCGCAATGCTCCTCTAAAATTGCCAAGTTGGGGCATATCCACTGTCGAGTAGTCCATTTTTTTACACCCATGGGGCGATCATTGATTTCTTCTTTATTATTTAAATACATTCCTGCCAATCGTGGGGCCCAAATATGCCTTCCCTGTAGGGTTGGGAGTGCTAAGAAAGACTATAGGGTGTTCAGGTATCTGGCAGGGTGAATCCGCATCACCTGGCTAGCAATGTGTCCAATTAGGGTGTTTGTGTATACGTCTGAGTCCATAAGCTTATACCATTCTGAAATATAAGGGAGGAGAAGATTATTTCTCTGTCTGCTGAGAAGGGGAGTTAAGGCAGACATATCCTTGGCTCGAATCCAATCCATCTCTCTTTCTGTTAAAACAATGGCTAACAGCTGTTGCTCAGAACACCATAAGGCTATAGCTATTTTATCAGCTATGTCTCGCATAGTAAGCCCAAAATGGATGATTGATGTGGTCCCAAGTGTGCCACTGTAGATTTAACGTTTCCACCCCTGTCTGTACCAACTCAGTGATTTGGTGTTCTTGCCTTTTTGCTATTCTGTGGTGTAAAGCTTCTACCACACAGGCCTTTGTTTTTAATGCTTCCAGATCCACTGAATTTAATATTCCTGTTCCAGCTCCTCTGCCTCCCAGTATAGTACTGGCTAGAGCTCTCTTCCCTTGAAGGGGAGAATGTTTTTGTTTCAAGGAGCCATACCAAGCGTTGAATAAGGGGGTGCTGTATGGTGCACATTCGGGCCGTGTGATGGTTACATTATCCTTTGTCCAATTAACGGTGATGTGTAGCGTTGTTATCCTGGGTGCCATGTATGCCTTAATTGGTGGTTATTTCTTAAGTAAATGTGGGTAGGGACTTTCCATGATTGGAAGGCCGTTTAACAGTAGCACTGTTAGGTTGCCCACAAAAATAGTTTTGTTCACCCACACTGTAATCGTGCACGCCTCTAATGGTCCTGGTGTGAATGGTAGAAAGGTGTGTGAACCAGGTTCACTGGGTTCACAAAATGGATTCAAATCCATAATCGGCTCCATAGGGGTTATCACCTCAATCACGCAGTCATGATCCTCATTGGTTATATTAACTCAGGCTTGCAATGTAATTTGTGTGAAGGTCCCATACAGGGTATTGTTATGTATGGGTATTTCCTGAACCCTGTTCCACTCTGTCCAATTAAACTATTGTAGCCCCCAATGTACATATGTTATCCCTGAACCCCAAAAGCTTATGAATATCCCCCAAAATAACAACATCTTACCCTTAGCAGGTTTCTGGCAGGACTCCCTTAGGATCAGGTAGTGTGCGAGGGAATCTCTATTGGGAGAAATTCACGTGATTATTGGCAGGTATACTTCTAGTCCATATTAAATATAATATGTAATATAATATAAAATATATGAAATATTAAATATAATTGTGTAATAATTCAACACAAACAAATTAGGAAAAAATTTTATCTGTGACACATGAACCCACTTAAGTTTGCCGTCTTTTTCAATATGGTACACTAGTGGGCCAAGATGGTCAACTACGGAATAGGGACCTGTCCACTTAGAATCCAGGGCATGATCCTTTTTCCCTAGCTTTAAATACATTACCTGGTCACCGGCTTCCCATAGCTCAGAGTCGGTGACTTTTTGCTTGTTCAATTTTGTATTCATTTGTTCAATGGCATGACTCACCCTATATTGTAAGATAGTTTTGTCTTCTTGCAATTGTTTAAGCCACTGAAAGTAGTCATGCTGGGTTGCTGTAGGGTGTTCTTCAGAATCTCTAGTGAGGCATTCAGGATTAATCATTAACTGCATCGGTTGCCAGTTTGGTACAGCTGGATTTTTGTCTTCAGCCTGTCACTGCTGCAGATGGCAGCCAGGATCAAGGGCAGCTTTTCAGGCCAGTTCTTACTGGTGTGGTCTACTACTTTTCGCTGTGCCTCCTTATGGTGTGATTCATTCTTTCCACCTGTCCTGAGGATTGGGGTCAGTACGGGATATGAAACTTTTGTTTAATTCCCAAAGCATGCATCATCATGGTAAAAATTTCCCCCACAAATGCACCCCCATTGTCTGCATCTATAACCTTGGGGGGTCCACACCTACATACCACTTCTGTAGCCTTGGTAATTTTATTTTGTGCTTAAATTTTATGTTCATGATTTTTTTCCTAATATAGTAATCTCTTTTTAAAAAAAAAACACAATACACAACAATGCTAGCAACAAGACAAGACAAACAACACAAAACATATTTTTTGTCGCGACAGTAGAGCCATGGTATTCTGAGTTGCTTCACAGCTGGTTCCATTTTTTTCGCACATGCAGCATCCTACACTATTCATAAGGTCTAAACACCAAACACATTCTTACAACTCTAATATTTATCTTAACAATACTAACACCCAGGTAAGTCAGACTGGTTTCCAGCTATGTATTTGTTAGTGTTCAGTGAGGGCCTGGCCCTTCACATGAGCTGGTACCTGGTCTGCCAGCATCACAGCTAGTAACAAATAGTACTGGAGGATAATATTTTCACAATTTCTAGAGGTCTCTAATGGAGCCACTGCTTGGGCTTATTCTACTCCTTGCACTGGCCTGTCAAATGCACACAGGCCATGGTTACACAGGAAAACCCAATGCCACAGTCCTCAGCCTAATACACCTATCAGGTCTATCTCTGTGTGGCTCTTTGAACCTCTTGCCAGCAGTGACAGTACAGTTGGCTGATTGTCTTGCTGCTATTGTGTACCATTTGCTGGCTTCACTCAAGTGACTCCTCTGAGGATTTGCAAAATATAGTATAGGAGTTGAAGGAGTTGAATACACTTTGGGACTCTTAACCTACCAGTACTTCAACCTCTCTCTCTCGCTCTCTCTGGGTGGGGATTTTGGCTCACAAACACACACACACACCAAGGAGGGAGGCGAGGAGGAATCCTGTTCGGAATAAATTCATAATGCAGCTATTTCACTCATAATATTGCTTTATATTGTCAGCACATTAGCTTCTATGCATGGAGTTATTTCCGATTTTGGGGTGACACCACATCTTAGTGGAATGTTTTCTGTTTTCTGTGCCTGGAGTTATTTCCAATTTTGGGGTGACACCACATCTTAGTGGAATGTTTTCTGTTTTCTGCTCATTTTTGACCACCATGAGCCTAAGAAATGGATGGTTTTGAAAGGACTTCTTCCCTTCCAGACACCTGTATGGGAGTAAATCAGTCTTTTTAAACTTTCAACAGTTAACACTGATAGCAGCTGCCCCATCACAGATTTTATAGGTAGTGTGATAGACTCAGGCTAGCTGGGTACAGCAGAATAGCAGAAGGCAGATATACTGCCACTGGATTAACAGTTTTCTGTTCCCTGATTGACCAGAGCAGGGGCTGCTCCTGGCTAATGAGAACACCTGACTCCAATTAACCTGCAAAGAGTCAGGTGAGGCCATTAAGCTAATGTGACCACCTGACTCTAATTAAGGCCCCGCTGATACTCTAAAAAGGGTTCACTCCAGTCAGGCAGAGGAGAGCCAGGGAGCCAGAGGAGAGGCAGTGTGGCTGGTTAATGAAGATACCCTCAAGTTATTGATAAGAGAGCCCTAAGGTAAGGGTGCAGAAGGGAGAAGCAGGAGAGCTGTGGGGAAGTGGCCCAGAGAAATGTGGCAACTTTGGCAGTGAAAGGTTGGCTGCCAACAGCTGCTACCATTAGGGTCCCTGGGCCGGAACCCGGAGTAGAGGGTGGGCCTGGGTTCCCCCCAACCCACCACTACAGGAACACCTCCTGGGAGGGGAAGTCAGGCCCCTGTCAGGACAGGAGGCTAAACTGTTCTAAAACAAGCCCTAGGGACAACAGAGACTGTGGGAGTTCTCTCACCAACCTCCTTGCTGGCTTATGATGAAAAGGGCTCAGTAGACTGTAACCCTGGCTCTAGAGAGAGAAGGGCTACGTGGAGGGTCACAGTGAGCCACTGAGGCTAGCATATACTGCCTAGAAGCGCAGGACCCATGGGGACAAGGTCAGAGCTCTGCCACAGTAGATATAAATAAGAGGGATAGCTCAGTGGTTTGAGTATTGGCCTGCTAATCCCAGGGTTGTGAGCTCAATCCTTGAGGGGGCCACTTGGGGATCTGGGGCAAAATCAGTACTTGGTCCTGCTAGTGAAGGCAGGGGGCTGGACTAGATGACCTTTCAAGGTCCCTTCCAGTTCTAGGAGATGGGATATCTCCATTAACAAAAAAAATAAATAAGATATAGACAATATATCAGTTAGCATAGATCAATGTATTTAACTAGTTCTTCTGTAATGTACTGTGTTTTCTCTCTTTCAGGCTGTTTTTATTACCATATCTTAGTTATCTGGATGTTTCCTTCAATGATATTAGCGTTATCCCTCATGAAATCAGGAATCTCAGGTATTGATACATAATATACACTGGAACCAGACCTATGTGTAAAAATATTGTGAGCCTATTAGGAAGTTGATTGTTATTAGTAAATCTGGAGTAACGCCATGGATTTACTCTGGATTTGCACCGATATAACAGAGATCACAATCTGGCCCACTGCCCTGTGACAGGGGTCTGATTTTTACAATTAAATGTGTGTCCAGTTGCTTAAATATCATGATTATGCTTGTAAATCAGGTAACTTCACACAAATTATGATCATTGTGCCCATATGCATGTGCACTTGCCTAATTTGCATGCATGAGCCCTGTAATTGTATGCACCCAAATCATGTAAACCACATTGTCTTTCCCAGAATGTGCAAGTGAAGGTGTGATTGCAGTGCAGGTAGGCATACCTGCGCTAGCTTTAATCCGGCTAGCATGGGTAACAATTGTAGTGACCATGTGGGTGCAGGGGTTTTAGCATGGGCACCAGAGTACATACCCGGGATCCCCTTGTACACTGATTGCTAGCCCATGCTCCCATTTCTTCACTACTATTATTACACATTAGCTAGGCTAAAGCTAGCACAGGTACGTCTCCTGTGCCACAATTACACCTTCACTTGCAGTGTAGACATACCCTCAGTGTGTTTGTGTGTGATAGGCAGGGGAGGTTAATACTTTGGCTTCATGGGAATGATACAACAGAAACTTTGTGACAGATGGAAAAGGTTTTTCTGAAAAAAACATAGAATTCAGATACCTTTTAGAATTAAGGTTAACACCTTTGGGGTATATTGTATTAAAAGCAATTGTATATGTGTTATTGTGGCATTGTATGTACCTTCTCTAGTAGGGACGGGGATGCTAATATACTTCTTCCATTATAAACCCTTTGAAGCCACCCTCTGGAGAGATTCACATATACCAGTTCAGAGTGGATTCTCCAGGGACCAACAGACAAAGAAAGGGTTTTTGGATAAACAGCCTGGTTTTAAACTGGCTCATGGCCTTCTTCCTGATCCAGCAAACGGACAGGACCCGTGTTCCAGGGAGGGCCCCAGTCCTTTAGGGCAGTGGCTCTCAACCTTTTCAGACTACAGTACCGCTTTCAGGAGTTTGATTTGTCTTGTGTACCCCCAGATTTCACCTCCCTTCAAAATTATTTGCTTATAAAATCAAACCTAAAAATACAAAACTGTCACAGCCCACTATTCCTGAAAAATTACTGTCTTTCTCATTTTTACCATATAATTATAAAATAAATCAATTGGAATATAAATATTGCACTTTTCAGCATATAGTATATAGAGCAGTATAAACAAGTCACTGTCTATGAAATTTAGTTTGTGCTGACTTAGCTTGTGTTTTTTATGTAGCCTGTTGTAAAACTAAGCAAATATCAAGATGAGTTGATGTACCCCGTGGAATACCACTGCATACCCCCAGCAGGGCCGGTGCAAGGATGTTTCGCGCCCTAGGCGAAACTTCCACCTTGCGCCCTCCCCGAGCCCTGTGGCAGCTCGCCGCCCTGAGGCGCTGCCTCCTGCAGCAGCTCCCCTGCCCACTCTGCCCTGAGACGTGCCATTGCCCTAAACTGTGACAGTATGCAAGAGGAATTTTTTTCCCACAAAAGGTCAATCTGTCTCTGTTTTTGGTTAGAAAGTTTGTGGGTATATCAGCAGCTGTCTATGTGAGCAGAAGGAGGGCAGATATTGAAGTATACTTACATGTTAATAAGCAAGAGTGTGAAGTTAAGAACATACACACTTACCATTAAGTTTTTGAGAAATCTGATGATGGCCTGTGTGTGTGTTTTGGAGACCTGTCTTAAGCACAGGACTGGCTCTAGGATTTTTGCCGCCCAAAGCAAAAACAATTTTGGCCGCCCCCCCTCTTATTTAATTACCCCACCCCCTGCCCTGCCTCAATTCCGCCCCTTCCCCAAATCCCCAGCCCTGCCTCCTCCCCCTAGGCTCTCAAGCCTGGGATGGAGGGGTAGCAGCGGTGCGCGAAACGACCGCTCGGGATCT